GGTACCAGGAATTGAACTCAGGATCTTGTGCTTACCAGGCAGGCACAGTGCAGCTAAGCTATCTCCCGGGTCCCTCATAATTTTTTTTACAGTTTTTGCCTGCAGAGACTTTATATACTAGTGAGATATCCTTGTCCACAAATTCCAGTTTTTGCTTAAGGTAGGTGGAAGATTTTCCCACCTCGAGCAAAGGATCTAAACCACATTCTGTAATTCCCTTGGCTCTTCATTTTAGAAAGACTAGCAAACTTATTTAAGGTCACAAAACATATCCATGTTGCCAATCCTATTATTATCTTCAGTCCTCACCTTGTTTGACCTCTCAGTAAAATCTAAGCCAATCAGTTCTTAACTTTTAAAAATTCTTTCCTATGCTTTTATAATCTCCTTGGCCTAGAAAATCTCAAGAGACGGGCGACACGGACCAGTAATTCCCGGAATACATCGAGGCCTGGGCATAAAGGTGGTGACGGTGCTGCCGCCGCTGCACGAGCAGGGCCAGGCTTCCCACCCGACCCTCCCTCTTTCCGCAGTCCCCTTCACTGAAACTTACCAGATACCACACGCAGAAGGTGGAAGGAAGGGTCTTCACCTTCGAAGCGCAGCTGCGGGGCGGCACAGCCGGACGAGGGACACACCAGAGTTGCACTACTGGCCAGAAGTGCCAGGTGAGGAGTCACATTCCCCACAGGAATTACAAATACGGAAAGGGAGAAGGCTGCAGCCCCGTGGTGTGGGCTAACACTGGAGTAAGCGGTGTAAGCTCCAAGATTTTCAATATTTACAAAGGTCAACAGCACTAGAAACACATGTCCGCAGCATGTTCCCTGAGCTAGCCACTGGAAGCGCCTGGAAGGAAGAACTGAAGCCATCATCGAGCACACACAGCACCCAGGTCTTGGTCCCTAAATACCATTCTCTGCCAGAAGCAACCAAGGATTCTCAGGAAAATGACTGGGTCAGGACTGGAGAAGGAAAACACGACTGGGGCTGGGGGGCTGGACCAACAGCTGCGTGCTTCAGAAATGATGAGGCAACGTCCAAAGGTCCCTAAGGGCCAGCCTGAAGGTATCCCCACCAGTCAAATGTAAGACAATCCAGCATCAAAATTAACGAAAAATTTAACAAGACTGTAAACCTCAGAGTTAAGCAAGAACCCAAGAGTCTATAATGATTTAACAATTTCAAGTGAAAATATACACACACAGTAAGTAAGGGAGAACAGAAAGCTTTGCCCCATGAGAGCGCAGGAAGAATAACCTACAGTGAAGAAATTTTTTTTTTAAAAAAATCACATCTTAGGGGCTGGGGATTTAGCTCAGCGGCAAAAGCGCCTGCCTGGCAAGCGCAAGGTCGTGAGTTCGGTTCCCGGTACCGGAGAAAAACCAAAAAAAAAAAAAAAAAAAAAAAAAATCACATCTTGCCTTTCAATACTTAAACGTCACAAGGTATCTGGTGTCGAGGCTTACACAGAGATGTCCTCATGGTGTGCAGGGGTTGGATGGTGACCAGTTACGGAGGCTTACAGCAGCATTAGAAGGTGAGGTCCGCTTAGCAAAGGCAGGGTGTGAGAGGCACGGCCTGAAAGGGTTACCTCAGTTCCAGCACCTCCCTTGATGTCTCTCTGCTTCCTGGACGCCATGATGGAAGCAGCTTGCTCCTCTAGGACGCCCCTCTGCCACGCCACCCTGCCTTAGGGCCACCAGACCACGGACCGGAACCTCTACCAACCGCAAGCCAACATGACCCTCTCCTTTAACTTGTAGGTGTCGGGTGTGCATCTTGGTGATGAGGACAGTGACCCACGACAGCTGCCAACTTATCACAGTGATAAACTCTGCTGAGAACCATTAACAGGCGCTCAATCCATGGGTACAAACGTGATGAGCAGAAGATACCTTCCTAATATCATGGCAGCTCCCTAGAAAATACTGTAATATTTTACATATATAAACGTTTTGAATTTCGTTTCATAATTACTGATTTTACTGTAGAGGAACCCAGCAGACATCACCATAACCAAGTAATGAAATACACCACCAACGATGGGATGAAAGTCAACCAAGTGTGGGCCTCGCCGTGCCCTGCAACACCCACAGTACCACTTTTACCATGTTCCTGCCAAACACTTACACATCACAGGAAGGTATCAGATAAATCCAAAGGGAAGGACAATGGACAAAGTAACTGACCTGAGCTCTTAAAAAGTGTCAAGTCAGGGAAGACAAGGAAGGTCTGTCTCAGACTAAAGAAACATGGTAACTAAAGGTAACGAGCGACTCCGGCTTGGAACCTGGACCAGACACAGCACATTACTGCACTGGGTCAAATCAAGGAAATGCGAATGGAGTTGGTGGATCGGGCAGTACTATTACGTGGAAGTGTTCTTGCACTTAAAAATACACTTAAATATTAAAGAGTAACGAGGCAACATGTCTGCAATGTATTGTATTGCATTTTTTTTTTTTTTTGAGACAAGGTCTTCCTATGCAGTTCAGGCTGGCCTCGAGCTCACTTTTTAGCCCAGGCTAGTCTTGAACTAGGCAAGTTCAAGACTGCTGGAATTACAGGCGTGCGCCACCATGCCTGGCTCGAAGAATCTAGTATTAATGAAACAATTCTTTATTTAAGTAAGTTTTCAGTGCTGAGGTTTGCACCCAGGGCCTCATGAGGTTTGCACCTTTGGGCTGGAGGTATACCACTGAGGTATACCTCCAGCCCAAAGGAGTTCTATAAATCTGAAAATATCTCAGCCAGGAGGGGTGGTGCAGGATTGCACTCTGAGAGGTTGAGGCAGGAAGATCACAACTTCAAGAACAGCCTGGGCAACTCAGACTTTTGCAAAATAAAATTAAATTAAATAAACAAGTAAAGGGCTTGCAGATGTAAGTGACTGTGAAGACCCCATATGACAATCCCCCATATGACAAAAAATAAAGTATTTTAAATTAAGCTTTTTGAACCAACCACTGAGCCACATCTCCTTTTTTATTTTTATTTTTAAATTGTATCTTCCTAAATTGCCCAGGTTGACCTCAAACTTATAATCCTTCTGCCCCAACCTCCCAAGTAGCTGGGATTATAGGCATATACCAGCATGTTGAGCAATTCGTTTTTTAAAATGCTAAGAAAACATTATGGCATTAATTCATTATCTATTTATTTTTGAGACACAGTCTCTCTATGTGGTTCAGGAAATCTGGCTGTGCTGCAACTTGGAGAACTAGCCTATTATCACTTTTTTTTTTTTTTGGTTGGACTGGTCCTTCAGGCCCAGAAGCTCTCATTATGGACAAGGTAACAAGGTAGTGAGGGGCTGGGGATTTAGCTCAGCGGCAAAAGCGCCTGCCTGGCAAGCACAAGGTCGTGAGTTCGGTTCCCGGTACCGGAGAAAAACCAAAACCAAAAAAAAAAAAAAAAAGAAACTGTTCCTAGTGAGCTGAACAAGAATGGGTCATTGAAAGTAAACAGCTTCCAGGTGCCCCGAGCCCTGCTTCTGGTGGA